CCATTTCTGAGCCTTTGCATTGGCTGTTCACAGTGGCTGAAATTCACTTCCTCCTTGCCTCTATTTCTTTGAAACCCATCTCTCCTTTGAACTTTGGCTTAAGGGTCTCCTTATGTATGAAATGTTTCCTGATGGGAGATTTAGGCTAGGTAATAGTCCTTAAGTGTGTTCAGAACTGGTAATTAGTAGGTCAATATCATCTTGGAGAGAATTCTCTAATGGAGAGCCCTGGTAATGTTCTTGGCCCTGTATTTTTACTAATAAGTTTAATAAATACTAATTTGATATTTAATTAATATTTAATACTTAATAAATACTAATACATATATAATAAAAATACTAAATATTTTTACTAATACCTTCAGTGAAGTTATCAAGTATATCAAGTTTACAGATGGCAAAGCTGTAAAGGATAGCTAACATGTTAAGATGATAGGATCCAGAATGTTTTGGGCACATTAGAATGATATACTTAGGGGCAGCTAGGTGGCGCAGTGGAGAGAGCACTGGCCCTGAAGTCAGGAGGACCTGAGTTCAAATCCGGCCTCAGATCAAACACTTGACACTAGCTGTGTGACCCTGGGCAAGTCACTTAACCCCAACTGCCTAAAAGTAAAAAAAAAACCCAACAAAGAATGATATACTTAAAAGATGAAAATCAATGAGGATAAATAAATTTATAGTCTTTGGGCTCAGAGGATCAACCACATAATTGCAGGAAGGGGGAAGTGTGGCTAGATAGAAATTCTAAGACAGTTATGGATTGGACAAGATGACCTCAGAGATCCTTTCCATTCGTGAGACTCTGTGATATGTTTTATACCTTTTGACTACTTTGTGATGAGTTCGGGCTTTTAAAAATTTTATGGTGAAGGTTGATAGGAAATTCACACTTATCATATAAATATATGGAGTTAAAATAAATGGAAGTAGAAAGTGTACCAAGAATACTATTCCAAAGAATAATATAGCAAATGCATAGTTGTTTACCAAGAACATCGCCAGTAACTTTTCAGAATGTGTTATAGAGATCTTATTTTTCTGTTGGGAAGAGAGAAAAGGTCAGTATATATATGGTCATCTGTTTTACCCAGTGATTTCAAGTGTTCTTCTAATCTGATGGCATTGCTGTTTTTATAGGTTCATACTGTATATGGAGTATTAAAAATCAACATTGATCAACTATTGGGGGTAGTTCTATGGAGCATTTTGATGAGTGAATTCTTCCTGGTGTGATTTGCTCTTATTGCAGAGCATGCTTTAAATGTTCCATGTTGTATCTTTCAGTGGTCTCACAAAAGAATGAAGATTGGACTCTCAGGTTGCTTATGCCTATCTTTTCTTTGTTGACTTGCTCAGAACAATAATTACACATTTTTTTGTTGTTGTTGTTTTGCTTTGGTTATCTGTTTCTCAGAGATGGGATGATGAACTTGGGAGAAAAACAGTTTTCCTAAGTGAGAAATTGAACATATTTTTATACTTTTAAGTAGAATATAAAAATTAAACATAATGTATATAAACATAAAGCATATTTATGTAAATTAGGTTTTATGTAAATATAAAATTAAATATAATTTATACTTTTAAATATAAAAGTATCATAAATTCATCAGTTGCATGTTGATAAAAAGAGATCGAATAGTTTCCTTAAGACCAAGATAGTTCCAAGTCTCTCCTATGGGAAAACTTTGATGCCAGGATATCTCTGTCTAGAGTTAAGGTGCTTTCCCCCTTATGGCTGCTTGACACATTTGGAATTGCCATGCTTACCTGCGGTTCATAAGAAATTTCAACCTTTCCAATTAAGCAACTGTCAGCGCTGTCCAAGAAAAGCTGAAAGTCTCTTGGGAATGGAAAGAAGAAATTCAAGATTTTGCACCTGTCTGGGGAAATGCTGTAATTGGGTTGGGGCTCTTGTTTTGAAACCGTCACACAACATGTTTATTCAGTTTTTTACCATTAAAAATTTAGCTTCACACAATAAGTGGGTTTTGTTAGGTATTTGGCTTGCAGAAATTAATTTCAGCTTGGAGACATTTGACCCCTGTGAAAAGAGTCAGTCCTTTTAGTAGTCTTAGTGAAACCAGAGGCAGAACTGGCTGAGTATGGAATTGGAAGCCAGGGAATGAATAATAAATGCTGCATAGTAGAGACTGGATTTTTGTATATAACATATCATCCTTCCGATAGCCCCTGCTGTGTGACATTTTGCTTCTGGGGACCTTAGCTTCTCAAATCTCGCTTTAATGTTTTTCTACAACTACCTAACTTGCCAAGATGATGAAGTTTTAAAAATTTATCCTTCCCAATGTGTGTGACAATGTCAAATAGAGGGGCCATCTCCTGGGGGAACTTTGAATGTAATTGCTTCAGGCAGATGTTTGTGTTCTCTTAGCCCTGTGATATGGGGAGCAGCAGAAAGAAGTAAGTTAGGTAGCAGTATTGCAAATTTTGAGGGATGAATGGAATCATTTTTGCTTGCCAAATATCAAGAGAAGACTCTTTGTCTTGAGTTGCTTTTCAGAATAAAATGACCTAGGTGGGATGGGGGAAGAGGACTCACAACTAATCCTCAAATTATTTTATTTTTTTAAAAAAAATTAAACTTTTAAAACAATTTAAAGTTTCATTGATACTTCTTTTTACATCACATTTATTTCTAATTATACCCTCTCCCTATCCAATGAATTTTTCCTTGTAACAAAGATTAAAACAAACAAGAAAAACAATGGTGTAGTGAATGTGTAGAGTCTTAGATTTTTAGTCAGAAGACCTGAGTTCAAATGTTGCCTCAGGCACTTAATAGTTATGTGATCCTGGGCAAATCACTTAACTTTTTTGGGTCGTTTCCTTTTACTAATGAAATTTCCAAGGACACAATGATGTTTAGGGGCTCCTTCAGGCTTAAGAAGTCATGTTGTCTCACATTCCAGCTCACTTTCCACATAGATTTTTTTTTTATGGTACATAATAGGTCTGCACTACAGATGGGCTCAGATGATGCCTTATCTGCCCATACCATCTTCCTTTCTCATCTGACCTGGTTGGTGCCTAGATTCTCCTCTTATCATCTTTTCCTGGGCAAGGAACAAAATCCTAATACAACTGAAGAAACTCATGGACATAAAAGCAAAACTTTAGTAGATAATTGAGAGCAAAGTATTATCAAGCCAAAGTACCATATATTTACACAGGCAGAATTGGACTTTTAATCCTTTCTGACCATGACTATTGGCTCTGGAAAATTCCTTTTCTTTAATCTTTCTCCATCCTTCCCATGAGGAGGTGGATTAGATACTCTTTGAGGTTCCTTTCAGCTCTGAGATTCTGGGAGTCTAGGTTAGTAATATAAGAAGTCAGAGTCAGGAGCAGGGGAGGGGAAGGACTCCTCCCCAAGTGAAAATAGGTAGGGGGAGAGAAGGCAGGAGCCAGGCACCCCCTCCTTGTGTCATTTGGGACACTTTAACATTAAGGTGTTGGTAGCAAACTTAGATTTCACTTTTCCAGAAGGTACATCACATATCAAAAAGCCCAGTATTAATCAACAAGTCAGTAGGTCAGTCTGTAAGGAAATATTAATGACCTGGCATTCATTCAAATGTTCTATCATCAGGTTAGGAGCCAGAGGAAGGAAAAAACATAACAGAAGAAAAGCCAATTTCTCCCTCTCCTCCTCCTTCTACCCTCTTGGCTCTGACAGGGTTAATCAGAGTCAGAGTGGGAGGGGGGTTAGGTTTGAAGGCTGGGGTAGAAAGCAGAGAGATAAAAACCCAACAGGAAACTGATACAGCAAATAGGATTGTGTATGTGTTCAGGTGGAAGTTCATGCTTCTGGTTGGGATTGAGTTCAATGATCTTCCTAGGTTCCTTCCAATTCTGAAAATCTGTGATCCGATGCCTGGAAATGAGACTCTCAGAATCAAGATAATATACAAGGAGTTTATAAACCACAGTTCAGGTGCACAGGCTAGACCAAAGAAGGAAGAATGCCTTGGAGTCTTAAATGCCTACACCTGCTGGTGACTCATTCTTGACTGCACTGGTTAACACATATTGCCTAGCCCTCCTCTAATGAGCATTCCTTAAAAACAGAAAAGGCATGCGGCACAGTGGATAGAGCACAGGCCCTGGAGTCAGGAGAACCTCAGACACAACACTCACTAGCTGTGTGACTCTGGGCAAATCACTCAACCCCAATTGTTTCACCAAAACAAAACAACAAACAAACAAAAACAAAAAAACACAGATGGCAGGACTGATACTTCTGGAGCCTTAGGAACCTACCTAGAAATCAGTACAAAAGAGGATGCTTATGGGAGTTTTGTTGTTCCCTCTGGACTATCTGGGGACCCTGGAGCCTTGCCAGACAGGTATTAGCCAGAAATCAAGTGATTATCTGCTTTCTTCCTAATCATGGAGCTTTGTGCTGAACTCTATATACAGACAACACTTTGAAAACACATGAGACCACCAGTACTATCTGAAGCATAGATTCTTCCGCACATCAGTTCATACAGTATGGGTAATCTGATGTTCATAAGCATGGTTGCTTTAAAACTGACAGCTTTATTTGTCCCTGAGGTGATCCTCAGAGCCACATTCTTGTGTGCCCTGTTGGTTTGGAATAGAATGTGAGACTTGGGGGCATAAAACTAGCATTATTTGAGCTCTGCTTATTGGATAGATATTATATACAGTAGAATACTCAAATGCCACTTTTACTGTAAAGTAAAATGACTTCAGATGTCATCAAGTGACTGTGTTTGCTGGGTTTTATTCATCGGCTGATGTCTTTGTAATCTCACGTCATGTTATCCAAGCCTATTTACCTGCATCTTGAAAGTGCTGTTGCAATAGTGACTTTCCCCAAAGAAAAAATGGAAATGATGTACAGGTAGGTAACTGTTAGCCAAATGCTCTGTGTGTGTGTGTGTGTGTGTGTGTGTGTGTGTGTGTTGGGCCTTTAAGTGTCATTAACTCCTTTTTTCCTCCTGCAGCCTCAATAAACTAGAAGTGTTTGGCTGTCATGCTCTCACAGCCAGGTGTATGGGCTGTTTGGCGTTGTCCTGCCCCCATCTGCTGACCTTGAATATCGGGAGAGTCCCCAAGATCACTGATGTTTGCTTTGCCAAGATACTGGGGAATCTGAAAAAAGTAACTTCTCTTAATGTGACAGGTCTTGAAATGGTAAGGATTCTTTGACATGAATTTAAGTTTCCTGACAGTGTCTTGCCTTTATTTTGTTTCTTTTTTCAGGGTCCTTAAAATGTTATTATAATACATAAAACTCTCAAATTTCCCCCATGTATATGGAAATGCATGATTCATAATTTTAAGGGGGTAAAAGTATGGAATGAAACATAATGGATATTTGTATATCTATTTTATATATAAACTCTTGTTTCCATGTAATCCAAGTGTTGAAAATTGCATACAAGGAGGAGAAAATGAAATGTTTTGCTTTATTATCCCTCATGACTGTCTAGTAAGGTAGATAGATTTCTAGATTTAACAGATAAAACACTTAAAAGTTGAAGAAGCACAGTGAGTTCTCCAAAAAATACAGCAAGTTAATTGGGGGTAGGAGATAGGAGTCAACCAATAGTTAGACTTCCTGCTTCACTTGTAGTGATTTTTATGAATAAATTCACATATAAGGCAATCTGTGGGGCTATTTAGTATAATAGAAATGGAAATTAACTTTCTGTATGTGCAAATGGCCCTTCTCTGCTGAATAGAATTAGTAAATATGTTGATAAAATGATAAGTTGATTTTTATTGATCATTGAGTATAGATCTTTAGCATCCTTTATCCCTTTTTCTACCACCACAAGGGAAGAATAAGAAAGAGGCCACATAGGATGGAAGGTCATTTTGGATTTTTATCCCTTTGCAGTGGTAAAAGGATTCATCACATAGGAGCCAACCTGCTTGGCATAAACATCTCTTTGCTTAACTTGGCTGGTTTTTGAAATGCAAAGCCTGAGACTATTGGAAGCCTTTCCAGCTGGATAGAACCTGCTAGATTCCATTGGTTTTTGAGAGGCTAGGGTTACCTTCATGCCAAGATGTGACATTGGGGTAGGACCCTTTGAAGAAGATCTCGGTGAGCTCACTTGTCACTCCAAAGAGACTGACCATAGCAATACACATAGGAAAAGCCAAGTAGATTGAAGAGTGTATATTGCCTGACAAGTCATAACTCTAGAAGACTGATAATGCATCGTTCTTCCTACCACTTGACATAGAGGTAATGGTCTAGAGGTGCAGAATTTATATACATACACACACATATACATGCACACATACATATACATATATATACAGACACATATGTGTGTATATGTGTGTGTGTATCTATCTATCTATCTATCTATCTATCTATCTATCTATCTATCTATCTGTATCTTCAAATATAGCCAATTGTGACTTTATTTTGTGTAATGATACTTATTTGTTGTAACAGAGGGGCTTTTTTGGGGGAACTTAGTTGGGAGAACTGCAGGGTATTGATACTTATGAAAAAAAGAGGAAAAAAAAGAAAAGCGTATCAATGAATCACTAAAAATAAGCAGAAGAGAGAAGGAAGTTCCAAAGGAAACAGATAAGCAGGGAGTGCTGTTGGAACTACCATGTATAATTTATATTTATATATACATGTGTATATATGTATGTACACATACATATGCATATATATGCATATTCATAAACATAAATAAATGTAGTGGAGATTCACAGTTTTATATGCAGACCTCTTTTTTATTCCTTATGAAGGAAAATATTTATGTTTGTTGACATTCATCAAATTCATAATAGGAAAAATTAAATATATTTCCCAGATTATTAACAACTAGCATTTGTATTGCATTTTATAAGTACCTTCTTGTTTGATCCTCCTGACAGCCCAGTGAAGTAGGTTCCATTATTATTCATATTTTACAGATAAAAAACTTGAAGCTGAGGGAGGTTAAGTGACTTGCTCAGGATAACAGAGCTAGTGTCTGAAGCAAAATTTATACCCAGGCCTTCCTGTCTCAAAGTCCAGCACTTATACCTACAGGGCCATCTGGCTGCCTCATACCCACTGAGTAAGTCTCTCAGTCCATATGCCTTAGGAAATACAAGTAGACAATGGAATGGACCCTGAATTGAAGAGGAGAGCTGGCTCAATCTATACGTGGGAAATTGTACAGAGTTTTCAATGACTCCTAAAGCTGATGTTAGCTTTTGCTACTGCAAATAGCAAAATGAGCGATTGCTCATCTTTCTTCAACACAATTATTCTTCCAAAGGATGTTGTAAGGCTGCAAATTATGGAGCCCTGCAGTCCCAGAAGAATACAGATTGTAGGTCATCCAGCTGGCTGTGAAAAGACACGCAGTGGCTGCTCACACGTCATCAACAATGGCCTACATACGAATTAGGGGGCAGTGTGGCATGGTGGAAAGTGTTGGATCTGGAGTCAGAGAGGCTGGGTTCAAATCCTGACTCCACCTGTGGGATCTTCTGGGTCCATAAATAGGGAAGGGAATAATTATTTATGTAGTGCCTACTGTGTGCCAGGCACTGTGCTAAGTGCTTTTACACATATTATCTCATCTGATCTTCGCAACAACTCTGGGAGGTAGGTGCTATTATTATTATTCCTATTTTGCAGTTGAGGAAACTGAGGCAGACAGAGGTTAAGTGACTTGCCCATGGTCACATAGCTTGTAAATGTCTGAGGCTGAATTTGAACTCAGGTATTCCTGACTCTAGGCCCAGCACCTTATCCGCCGCTGTTAGTTGCCTCTGGAAAAGTCACTTAATCTCTCTAGGCCTCATTTTTCCACTTCTGTAAGAATAGAAGGCTATAATGGATGATATACTTCTAAGATCTTTTCTAGTTCTAAATCCATTATTCTGTGATACTAATTGATATAAAAGATTGTTCGGGAAATGTATCACTAGAAAAGGAATCGGGCCATTCATGAAGCAGGTTATGAATGATATAGAAGGGTCTTTTTTCTCTTTTCTGTTATTCTCCTTCACCCCCAGCTTCCTGTTGCCCATTATGCCTTAAAGGTCCATACTGTGTGGTGACAAAAAGATTTTAAGATAGACAATCTGAATATTGTAGTGGCATCAATAAAATATCAAATAAATTAAATAAAGGTCTTCCGTACTTTGTTTAGATGTTCCATAGAGGATTTATGAAGGACATGGGTAAGAATCACATAGCATCAGAAGGCCAGCATGGGCCATGATTTATAGCAGTGGAGGTCATGTTTGTATCAGCAAGAACCAGTGAGGTGTAGAGCATAGAATGTTGAAAAAATTCAGTGACTCCATTCATGACTCCAGAGGACCAGTGATGAAAACATGCTATTCATGACAGAGAAGTGATGGATTTGGGGTATAGAAAGAGACATATGTATTTCTGTGTACAGGCATTGGGGAAATTCGTTTTGTTTAACTTTGCATATTTCTTATAAGAAAGTTTTTTTTTAACTTTTCTGTGTGTGGGAGAGAAAATAGATTTCTGTTAATTATTTTTAAAAAATAAAGAGGTGAGACATGTTGCATACATTTTCAGATGAGATCACTATTATTATTTTTAATTAACTGTTTTACTTTGTTACCACACATCTCTTACAAAATGGGATCAATTTGCAAATATGCATAATGTAAAAATAAAACGCATCAACATAACTGAAAGTGACCACTGCCACCCTCATAGAATGTGGGAAAGGAGCATAATATATCCTCTTTATTTTTGGACCAAAGTCCAGATTATTTCATTCTTTGTTGAGAATTAATTTCTAGGTTGTGATTAATGTGTGTTAGAATAATGTGAAATATGATTTAGTGTAAATGATAAAATGATGCCAGGTCACATTTAAGGTAAGCTAAAATGCAACTATACTCTGCCTTGGTTGAGGTTTTTGACATACCATCTCACTGTAAGTCTGCAATTTTCTGTCATCACAAATGAACATGGTGTGCTACTGTGTACCATATTACCAACAACTGTGTTATTTTTATTTTTTAAAAAAGAACCTTTAAAAAGACGACAGAAGGAAGAATGCTTCAGCTGGATACATTGCCAGTGTGGGGGAAAAGAGGCATGTTGTTACATCAGAACAAAAATCTGATGTAATTGAATGGCAGGAATGTGGTCATGGTAACTCTAAATAGGATAAGATGTTGGAGTGCCTGAATCTACAGGACAGAATATGATAAAACATGTAAGTGAAATTGAAGAAAAAAGTTGTCTTGGCTTTTTGTGGTTTGCAAATAACTACAAGGAATAGAATTGTTCCAGTGATAGAAATGAAGTATCTTTTAGCTGTAGAGATTGAAGATTGCAATTAAAAAAATGCATTCCTCTTAGAGCACCCATTTGGATAAAGGCTTAGGGTTTATTTAAGATAGTGAAAGAAAATGGAAATGAAGTGAATAGTGAAGAAACTTTTGCTGTAGCATTGGTTAGTTTGATTGCTTTAAAAATTGAATTCAGTTACATAATGTTAAAATTACCAGAGAAGTGGCCAGGGCAGATGAGGACACAGCAGCTAAATTATTCTCATGTTTTGAAGACAATAATCAAATAAAGTGTGCCCATTAATCAATGATTTTTTTACATGGACAAAGGCTTATTTTGGAAAAGTATGAATTCCAGAACTTGATATTTCTAAGAAAGGGAAAAAAAATCTCAACCTGGATTTAATTGGGAGGTAATGCAGAAAAGATTTTAAATAAAAGCCAATGTTTATTTGTTGATTTCAAAATCCTTGGGCTCTGAGAGGCTACAACTATCAATGGCTTCTTATTATCTGGCGATTACATAAGAAAACATGGATGACTAAAGCTGTTTCTGAAGACCTATTTTTCAAGTTGTATTAGCCTAGCTGTTGAGAAATATTGCAAGGACAACAATGTCACATTTAAAGCATTACTGATTTTAGATAATGCCTCAGGTCATTCAACTACGCTTGGTTCATTGTGTGAGAATGTGAACATGCAAATTTGCTGAGACTTGAATAAAGCTTTCTGCATACAGAGAATGTACAAAAGATTTAAAGAAAGGCAGTTCAATCTACACTTGACAATATTTTAAAGAACAGTACTGAATTTTCATTATATTGTCAGTGTAGGCTTATCTTTAGCTATGATATTCGACATTTAGAAGTTTTTTTTAAATTTTG